TGAACTTGAAAATAATAGATGAAAATACAGGACAGTAATAATTAATCAAAAGAGCTAAAATTGATGGATTATTGAATCTTAAGAAAGCATAATACAATAAATCTTTCATAAATGGTAGTGATTATAAATAAACGTGATCTTTCTTATTATTGTTAAAAGTAATATTTACACAATTACTAAGAGATACAGCTAACACACAGTTATGTTTAGCTAGTTCTAAAGAGTTTTTCTTGAATAACGTGGGTCTATTAAAAGGGTAGCCAGTATATCTTTATAGTATTACTTTCATATTATTTACTTGATATATGCAATAAATAATATCTGCAAAACTGGCTTTAGTTTTCAGAATTTGAATTTTATTTTTTAAAAATTAGAAATATAGAATAATAAAATAAGAATAAATTTAATTGTAACATGTAACACATCTTATTTATAATAATCTTAATTTTATTCAATCAAAATTTAAGATTAGTATAATATAAATAATTTTAGCAAATTAAGAATTTTTTTAAAAAAAAATAGCAATTAAAAACTCTTTTCATAATATGAGCAAATTAAAGAAAAAACAAAACAAAAACCAGATTAAATAAATTAATTGCTTGTATTTAGGTATTTTTAAGTTGTAGCAACAGCCTCACAAATAACAAAATACTTAACAAACTGCTGACATTATTCAAGAAAGCAATATTTTCAAACAAAATAATAAAAAACTCTAATAAATATGAAGGTTAACTCTTTTTCGTTAAACAAAGAAAAGAAAAGAAACTGTAACTAGTGAAACAACTCGTATTGTCATCCCTTTAAATACTACTATAAATATTGATAATGTTACTAATATCTTTATAAATTTTTAAACAAAAATAAAAATCCTCAAGAAATTTTTACAAAAAATAAATTTTTTCGCTTTCTTTTTAATCAACAATTATCCTGAAAAAACTTACAATTAAGGTTGCTTGTCTAAACTCATTTTAGAATTGACAAAACATCTAAACTATAATTTCACTAAATTTTTACTAAAGTTTTGATATAGTTTCGCATTTTTATAAGCTTTGATATAATTTTCTCTTTTCTAGAATTTTGCAAAACCTCTAAGTTTCATTCAGCAACCTTATTCAACAAAAAATCACTAATATTACTAATCTCATATTTGATCAATTTGATTCTTTTTCAGAAGTGATTTAAGTAAAATACTCAAAAGACTAATCAAAAAAATCTTAAAAGTGATATTTTTAAATAAAGAAGAAAGAGACGCATTCTATTAAGATAATTAGAAAAACTATATTATCATCATTAAAATTACTCTATAATATTAAAAGTTACTGAAATTTCATTGGATATCATAGAATTAAAAATAAAAAATTTTTTTTTTGATTTAAAATAATTATCTGTTTCAATATGAAAACTAGAAATTTATAGCAACAAATCATAATTATATATAATATCAATACTAACTTTAAAGAATTTAAAAAGATTATGAAATTTTTCTTTTAAATAATATAATTCGTTTTCATATGTGTAATTTTCCTTAATAAGAAATTTTAAAAAAATCAAGATTTTCAGCCAAATTCATGTATCTCTCTCATTTTATTATAAACAAAGATTTATCCAATCTTAATTTAATAGTTGATATTACAGTATTTTTTTAAAATGTAATAGTTTTGCTTAATCTTTATTATAATAAAAGTAAATTATTTATATATTTATAGATAAACTAAAAAACAAAATAAAATACAAATCACAAGAAAAAACAAAAATCTCATTTAAAATCAATTATAAAGAAAAGTGATCTTGCATTCCTTCAGAATCAAACTTAATCAAATCTAAATATATCACTTTTTAAGAAAAGAAATGAATTAAAAAAAGAGGGCGTGATCACTATTGCATTACAAATTGACCAATGAGATTCTAATCACATTATAGTACTAATAGAATTTGTCCTATTTGTATTAAAAAAAAACAAGAAGAGAAGTTATAATCAAATATTACAAAATTATTCTGTTTGTTTTTTAAAGTAATATTAGCAGAATTTTTTAAAGCTTTCTGGATGATACATCAGTCTATCTAAATTTTTTGAGTTTTTTAAAAATAAGATGTATGAAGAAAGAGTAAACAGTGTGTGTTAGCAGAATATTATTGAGTTTGCTATGAATAAACTTGTATAATCAAAAAGGAATAATCCCTTTAATGAGAGTAAAAAACGAGGTAGTATTGTACATACAAAGTTACCAATAATATAATTATTCAATTTAATGTCAATCGCATTAATGAGAAATTTTAAATGATCTTGAATTGAAGTATAATGATTTTTATCTTATAATTTACTATAGGATATATCCAGATATAATAGAAGTCTTTATCTATAGTATCACATCTGAGACATAATAGAGAGGATGAATACATCAGATATTTCATTTTAGGATTTCTAATGTAGAAAGTATTCTAACATTCGTTGATATTTTGCTTTTTCTGATAGCTAAAGCCAAATAGAAAGTATAGACTAAGATAATATTGTTTTTGAAAGAAAAAATGGTAGCTATCCATTAAGGACAAATTAATTGAAAATTCTTTGATAGGACTTCCAATTGATTGAGTTTTGAGATTGATAATTTTCTATGCAGATTTTTGATGAATTGAAGACTTAATATTCTTAATTCTGTCTACTCCTATTTTTTCGAATAGTTTGTAAATCTTTATAGCCCTTTGTGTTCTTTTACGTAAAGTTTCCAATGTTATTTTAGAAAGTTGTTTTATTATATTCTGAAATAATTATTTTCTTGCTATCTAGTCTGAAATATTATCTTTGGCAATAATTTCTTGAACACTTTTTTTAAACCTTTTCCCATATGAATAGCAATATGAAATTTCTTTTTATTTAGCCTGCATAATGTTTTTCTCTTCAATACTTACATTTAGAAATAATTGAGTAAGCTCAACTTCTATTATCATGTCAGTCATAAGTTCCTGATTTCTGCCAATAACTTAGACATCATCTTTATCAATCAACTCTGAAGATACTTCTTGTATAAAATCTTGGGCTATTATATAATCATGGGAAACTTTTGTTTCTTTGAGTAGTACTTGAAATAATACATTTAGTAGTATTTCTTCTGATAATTGTGAATTGCTTGTATTTGTTTCAGCTTTTATAATATTATTGGAATCCTCTATAGGTATAGAGGAAGTATTTTGAGAAATTAAATGCTCATCCTGATCTCAATATAAAAGTGATATCTCACACAAAAGCTTCTTCTTCTTGTATCTCTATTTTATCATATTACTAATCTTTTTCTTACTCACCAAGTCTAGGAATTCATCAGTCTTCCTATCCTCTAATAATTTAGACTTAAATGTACTAGACTTTATTATAACATTAATAACAACTCGCTTCTGCTTGATTTTTCTGATATCACAATTTAGTTCTGTAACAAGTTTAGTCTTTTCCTTATCACTCTATTCTAATTTTGCAAATTTGGTCTCATTTTCTTTCATAACCTGTCTCAGTTTAGAATTTTTGACTTTAACCTTGGTATTTTTAGCCTTAATCTTAGCATTCTCAGCCAGAAGCTTGATGACATATTGTTTCAATAAATCAAGTTCAGATTGCATATTCGATAAATAACTTTTATATAGAACGCGATTTATTTAAAATGCATTTTACCTAAGTGGAACTTTAAGTCTCACTTTTTTTATTCACTATACATCTCCATATCCCATGAAAATATATCTGATACAATGTATAGCACTTTCAGCTTAAATTTTTTATTACAAAAAATAAACTACATAATTTAATGATACATAAACTTGTTTTACAGCATTTCTAAACTAATAACTATAGTCTACACTAGTATTTCGTTCATCTAAGCAATCTATATATTAACATAATATTCTAATCTAATTTCATTTTGTTCCAATATTGATATTCTAGATAGATGTCAATTATGCATAAAACATGCAGAATCAGAAATAAATTAATAATATTGACCTTAATAAAACTCATTGAAAGTTATGTTCTCCATCTAATAAAATTCTCGAAATTTTTGAAAAAATAGATATTAGCTTTGCAAGTTCTAAGTCACTTTCTTGCAAATGTACAGCCACAACTGAAAAAATATGCTTCATTCACCTTAATTATGAATTGTTTCATCAGTGATCTGTCAAGACAAATTTAAAAAACCTTAAATACCAATTATGATTACTGAATTTTTATTAGTTAAAATTTAGGTAAGATATCAAACTCATTTGTACAACTTATTTTTTATAAGGATGATTTTATAAAGATATGATTGTATCTTTGAATATAATTACATGAAGTTAATTATGCAAATTAGCTACATTACCATGTCTGAAAATACAAATTCAATGCCATTTATCTGCAAATAGTTAGATTCTCATTCTAAATCACAATACTTTAAAACTGTAAAGGAACTCAGAAAATACATCACTAAATACAATATTAATTCTTGCAACAAATCTTTTCAGAAAATCATACTTACATATGTCTGTGAAAAGATTACAAGAAATCTCATAATAATAATAATATGTTAAAAGATATAAAAAATTTGTCAAGTGTTTTTTGGCTTTGCTAGTTCCACTGATATTATAGAAATTATAATATTGTATCTTACAGAATATTTATGTAGGTACATTCAACAAAAATCATTTAAGGTTTATTCAGAAAACTATTTTATCTGTTACATTGCTTTGTAAGTGCTAGAACAATTATATTAACTTTTTTCTTTAATATTTAGTGTTCAGTTTGTAATACCCGATTTGATACTCCTATTACACTAGGCTAACACTTGATCAATAACCATAAAGATAGTTTTATAAACTTTACAAATGATAATGAAATAGAAGAATTAAATTCAGATATTGTTATCATAATTCTTTTCTTTATTTAAAATTTAGCATAATTACCCTAACATATTTTCTTTTTTTGTTAAGGTAAAGATGAAGTCAATGTCCTTGTGAAAGAAAAAGTTGATAAAGATAAAGCTGACATGTTTATTGATAGAAAAATCAAAGTCTCACTAACAAGCCATACTGCAAAATTATTCTATCGTGATATTCTCATCAAAGGGAGCATTAATAAGAATGTTACCAATACTTCTAAAAAAGGTAGCTTGGATATAAAGTACCCTTTTTCTATAAGTTATGACCAGAGAGAAGAAGGTTTGAAATTATATTATAAAGGGTTAGATACTATTTCAGATATGGCGGAGAAAAAGATAGAGAAAAAACTTACCAATTATGATCTTAATAACATTGATAATTTACCTGAAACGCCAAAAGATCATTTAATTGAGAAAGAAGTGAGAAAACTTTCTTAGAAAACAATTTATGATATATATAAAGAAACAGATGTTATTATGATGTTGATTAAAGCTCGTGAAATGTTAGAAATAGAAAATTGAGCATGAAATCTGTTTTAATGAGATTCTTTACAGCGACATTAAAATTTTTGTAAAATGCTATCCCACCACATCACTGCCTTCTCTTTCATTATTGAATAATGTTATTTTATATAGGAGGGTTTCTAAGAAAATCAGATTCTGAGAAATTTTTGACTTAAATTAAGAGCTTAATATATTTTAATCTAATAACATCAAAAACCAAAATGCAATAAAAATCTTAATTTTGTTAAAAAATTCCCAGAATCTGATTTTTCTAGCAATCAACCCATATAACAGTTTACGAATTAATAGGTAACAGTATAGTATAAGTAAGTAACAATCTTATAAAATTATTACCTATTAATTGGTCAAATTGACTAAAATTGGCCAAATGGTCAAAGGCTAATACTAGTTTATAATATAGACGTTTTGCAATAAAAAGAAAGAAATTTCTATTGAATTGATGTTAAATCTGAATTTATTTTGTTAAAAAAAAAATCAAATTTAGCATTTAAAATTCTAGAATTTCCTTTGCAAAGCATTCATTTTTGTAATTAACTGCTATGTGCATTAATAAAGTATAATTATATTAATAAAACTTGTTGATTACTTTGATATTTAAACATTGTCTTTTAAATATATTTTAAAAAAAAAGATAAAAAAGCCAAATAGTAATTATTTCATTTTCTAGCAAAAAATAAAATTTTAAAGCTAACAATATTATTGGTCGATAACCTGTTACACGCCTCCAAAAAAAAAGCCTTTTTTAAAAAAATGGTGATAAGATCATCTGTTGGTTGTGATATTTGATTATAAAAATGAACGAACCTACATTTAAACTTCCTGAAATAATCGATAATGATAGTGGGTGGGGTCCCTCACCCGCAATGTTACCGGAGAAGTTCCGAGATATACCGTATGCTCCATATAGTAAAGCTGATAAATTAGGAAAAATTGCTGATTGGTCTACTCCGGAACAGAAAGAAAAAGAATCTTCTGGGAGGCAGAGAGCAAATTACAGGAATTACCGTGGTATTGTACATGAATTGATCAAACTTTTACTTAGTATAAACATGTATTAACGTTTCAACTTATTTTCTTTTCATGTAGATCAGTATACAGCGTATGGTTATGGTGTATCCAGTGCCTTTGTTTATACACACGCCGAAGACGAAGCTTCGTTCTCAGTGGTTGATAATCGATCAACTGCTCAAAAGAAAGCCTCATCATATAGAGCTGCTGGTGGTACAAAGGTGCGTAAGGTCCGAATGATTTGATTTATATCTATATAGTTAATCACATTTTATGGTAATCTCTACAGGGTCGAACAGGTGCAAGAGGACAAGCATCTCGGAATCTCAGGAATGGACAATTTCAAAGATATGGTAATCAAAATCGGAATTCGCCTGGGGGTAGAACGAATACCACTGCTCTCCGGAGACGATACGGTTGGAAAGATTATGACAAGGTTGCATTAATCAATTAATTCTTTTCAGTCACTATGAATTCAAGAATCTTAATTAACATATTATTATCATTTACAGCCCCAACGTGCAAGAGATGCTTCGGTTAAAGTGGGACCGGAATGGAAAGTTCTTGAAGAGATTGAGTTCAGTCGGTTATCCAAACTTAATTTGGATGTAGATGATGGTGAAGATTTGTATGTATAATATTATAAATAGTATGAGCTTGTACTAAATAGTTTTAATATTTTAACTTTTGTTTAATTTCGTTAGATCTTCACATGGATTTTTGTATTTTTACGACAAGAATTACGACCTTGTTCGAACAAAAAGTGAAAGATTATTACTTCCTAACGAGAAAGTTCGATTCTTTATAACTACTTCCAAGGATCCTATTATTGAACAAGTAAATAACATTAGAATTAATTTTATTTAATTTACTTATTGCTGACTTTTTAATTTTCTTTCTCTTTTAGCTTGCAAGGGATAATGAAGCTACGGTTTTCGCCACTGATTCTATTCTAAGTTTACTTATGTGTGCACCAAGATCCGTATATCCTTGGGATATTGTTATTAATCGTATAGGAAACAAGTTGTTCTTTGATAAACGAAGTAACGGTGTTTATGGTAAATAATTAAAATAATCTTTTTATTGTTTTAACTTTAATTTAATATTGAATAATTTTACTTTTTAATTAGATTATATAACCGTTAATGAAAATTCTGCCGATCCTCCGCTTGAAACCGGAGACAAGGATAATATTAATTCCCCTACCACGTTAGCATTGGAAGCAACCTTAATCAACCATTATTTTGCCTTACAAGTAGTAAATGAAGTGAGATATTGATTTTAATTTATCTTACTTTATTACGAGGATAGATATTCATTGATGCAAACATTTTTTAATTAGAATGAAAAACATGAATTTGAAAAACCGAATCCATTTATTAATTCTCCAGAGGATGCGGAAGAAATGGCACCATGCTCTTATCGATATCGTAAATTTGACCTCAGCATTAATGAAGACGAGGATGTTTCAATTATTGTTCGTACACAACTTGATTCTGCTATAAAAGCTCCAACGGGTGGGGTTTCTTTCCTAACGATTAAAGCTTTGAATGAGTTTGATCCTAGAGCTCAAGGAGCTGGTGGGGCTTTGGATTGGCGACAAAAATTGGATACCCAAAGAGGAGCAGTTGTTACAACTGAAATGAAAAACAATAGTTGTAAATTAGCACGTTGGGCAGTTCAAAGCATTTTAGCCGGAGCTGATCAAATGAAATTAGGGTAAAAACTTAAAAATCTTTTTTTTTTTTTTTAGGGGGAAAAAATTTTTTACCTCTAAATTATTATAATTATTATTATAAATAGATATGTTTCTCGTGCTTCTCCAAAGGACAATCAAAAACACGTTATATTGGGTACCCAAATGTATAAACCGCGTGACTTTACAGCCCAAATGAATTTGTCCGTTTCAAATGGATGGGGAATTGTTAGGACTATCGTTGATTTGTGTATGAAATTACCAGAGGGTAGATATGTGTTAATTAAAGATCCTAATAAAGTAAGTAAAGATTTGTCGTTAAAGAAGAATTCCCTCTGAATTTCTAAATTATAACCTTTTTTTTTTATAGCCGTTAATTCGTTTATATGGTGTTCCTGCTAATACATTTGATGCGGAAGATGATTCAGCACTTGATGATGGTGATGAAGTAGAGGACGAAGAGGAAGAAGTTTTGGAAAAACCAACCACTAACAGCGAATTATAAATTATTTAAAATCAAAAAATCAAAAAAAAAAAAAATTTATTATTCGTAATAAAATTTAATTGAAATGATTAAACAAATTTTTTTAAAAATCATATTTAATACATGGGACATTTTATTTATATATTACGTGATCCAAACAGAATGAATAATTGATTTAAATCAGCCATGTGATATTTTGTGTAACAATCCATGTTGGCTGATAAATACATCTAAAACTTTCATTTTTGATATATATATATTTTTTGTAATGGATCAAGACGAAGCAGCTACTAGTGCCGAAATAATAAACTCGTCCGACAAAGATGTTAGTTTGGATAAAGAAAAATTTTCTAAAGGGTTGATGACCCTTTTAACACCCGTAATTGAAGAAATGGATTCACGAATTGTCGCGGTGAAAGCAAGTCAAACAGAATTAAATAAAGAAATCGAAAGACTATACGCAGGTTTGTGACTCGAAATTGTACCTATTTTAACCAACTTGACTTAAACATATATATCCTGTTTAAAGAACTTCAGTTATTTGTTGAAGCTACCGAATCACCACCAATTCAACCTTCTATCCAAAAATTAATCACAGCAAGAAAAAAGCTAACCACAACAAATCAAACTCTTAAAACGGTTCATGACCGTATTGAACGAATGCACGCACAACTTGGCAAAGAAGCCACATAAGAAGAATGAAATTGTTTGCTAGAATAAGTCGTAACGTAAATTGTAAATAATAAAAAAAAAAAAAAAATTTTTTTTTTTTTATTTATTAATTGGGATAAAGGCAACATTATTTTTCTACATTAGTAAACATTAATTAAAGTTATTCGTAATGTTAATAATTTTTTTACTAAAATTATTAGATATATTAATTTCGATGTAATATTTAATCTAATATTTATTTAAAAAATATTATTACCACTATTTAATAAAAATTTTCTTGATTTCTCTTTTTTTTTTATACACAAGATGACATTTTATGTTTTTTTTTTTTGTAATTTTTAAAGTTATATTTAATTAAATAAAAATAATAAAATAATTTATGTACTTATTCAAAATTGTGATTTGTTGACGTACACGGACCAAAAAAAATCCTGTTTAATTTATTACAATAATAAAAGGAAATATATATTTTTTTTATTTTACATTTTGGAAATAAGGTTGTTTTGTTTCGGTTTTAATTTAAGGTGCTTAAAAAAAAAAACCGTTATCAAAATCTATTTTAGGGTTAATATAATAATTTTTTTTATTTATTTATTTATAGAGACATCACCTACTATAAAAAGGGAAATTCGTTTGGTTAGAGGAGAAAATAAAAAAGAATGCGAAATTACCAATTCCAAAAGAGGTAATAGGTAGCCCAACTTGAATCAGAAATGCATGGCTAATTAATTATCTTCATGCAGCGTTGATCTAGTATAAATCAAGGATAGAAATTATCACAATATGATCAAACAAATTCCCCTTGTAACTTTTTTTGATATTATCCAATTTAATTTATCACCTATCAATTTCAAAAAAAATCTAATTTTGAAAAATATTTCAGGATCAAATGAGATAAAGGTTTGATTTGATTTCTTTTTTTATTTTTCCATGGGGAAGGATTTCGATAATCTCCGTAGGTTAAAGCAGAAGGACTACCAATTGGAAATCGAATCGAAATAAAGAATTTCATTTGACCCTAAGGGGTGGAAAAAAAAAGTTACCTGTAGGAAAATTTTTTTTTTTAAAATAAATAAAAAAAAAGCGGGAATTTGCATTCATTTGTTGATCCCTGAATACAAAGCGGACACGCGATGCTCAAAATGATGAAACAAAAAAAAAAAAAACGTGGCAGATAAACGTGTAATTTCCGATAGACAATAATTATCATACGCGTATCATAAGTAAAACAAACAAATAATTTATTTTAAAAGGTTTGAAAAAAAAAAAAAATTTGATCACATTTCAAGCGAAAACAAGTGATATCTCGTATCCTTTAAATCCAAGCAGAGGTTTGAAAGCTAAAGGCAAAACGGGTTCAAGATCTGAGTAACAAACTAACCGAACAAGTTTAAAGCATCTAACCAAAGGAAGGTGGTCACGCCATAAACAAATCCCTAACCCGTTTTTTTAACATAGAAACGCCACTTAGCATTTATTATGATTTGTTTAGAAGTGATTAGAAAGTAGGTGTTGAATTCAGAAACGATGTGCGAATTACCCAAACGATGAAGGTGGTTCGAATTTTGATTGTATCTCACTTTATTTATTTATATGATACATTAAAAAAAAGAATGTTATTATTGATTGTTTGTACTTTATAAAATAAAAAATTATTAAGACACATTGACATCAATTAATTATGTACATAAAGTACATTATGCATACACAATACCCATTGCTTTCCAAACAAGTGAGTGAAAATTGGATTTTTTGGAGCCTTTTTTTTGGTCCTTTTCCTTATTCTTTACACTTACCCAAAAAAAATTTCAAAAAAAAAAAAAAAAAAAAAAAAAAAAACCCATTTAATTTTTTTTACCTTTTTTCTTTCTTTTTTTTTTTTTTATCTCTGTTGCTTTTTGTCAAAAAAAAAAAAAAAAAAAAAATTCTATAAAATAAAATCAAAAGGGATCTCCATAACTTTTTATAAAACTGGTACCCGTATCGTTCACTCCTTTTTTCTTTTTTTTCTTTTTTTTTTTCTTTTTTTTTTTTTTTTTTGAAATTAACAACTTTTTTTGAGAAAAAAAAAAAAAAATTTATCCCGCGCGGTACTAATAATAAAAAAAATTATAATACTCCAACTAAATGAAATATCGTCAACAACCCGATCTGTTTAATATAATAGATGGATCCTACTGTGACATTAATTAATAACAAATCGTCAACACCTTCTTCTCTAACTAATAATAATTCGATATCATCTCTACCACGAGTCTCGACTAATAAATCTTTTGAAAGAATAAAAGTCGGTTATGAGCCTTTTAAGTTAGAAGGGAATGACAAAGTTTTCTCACCCATAATAAGTAACAAGGACAATAGTAACACAAAGAAAGCTCAACAAAAGGACAATAATAACTCTGATAGCTTAATAGAAGATGACTTCTCACCCAATTTAGATTTTTTGTCACAACAATCGTCTAACCTACCTTCGTCACTCTTTCCTACACATACCGCTGGTCGCAAATTATCAAAGATCTCAGAAAATACCCAATTATCCACAATACAGCAATCAAAATTGGAAAGCAAACCATTAAAACCCATAACGACTTTGAGCAGAAGCTCATCGTCTGATGGGTCCGTTTCTTCAAAAGTTTCAGAGAGAGATTTGTCGGTATCAGGAGAGGAAAAGGTTGGCCAGGAGGACAGTTGTTTGACAAAACAAACTCGTCGTGTATATAGTCATAATAGAGACCCTTTATCTAGAATATTGGAAGAGAAAGATATCAAAGCGCTAGTCACAGAACAACCTGAGACTATCTATAATAGTGAAGAAGGCGAGCAAATAACTTCGGATATTTCAACAATATCAACTAATCATTTTCCTAATGCAACACCTATTCTCTCTAGTAACCTCAATTCCTCCGAACACCTTTCAGCCTCAACAGACGTTTCATCCATACTGAATCCGACTTCCCTATCTATATCCGTTCATTCAGAGAAATCGATACTTGGTGATATGTATAGCACCATAAAGCAAGGTCAATCTTCTGTAGCTATTACCTCATCACCTACACCTATACCCGATAAATATCCAAATATATCGTCATTGAAGAATGTTAAGGAGGGAAGAGCAGGATTATTACATAGGGAAGATAAATATCCGGGTCCAGGTGCCTACTTTTCTCACAAAAGCGGTCCAATGGGTGATCTGAGCGGTGGCCTGTCTCCCAACAAAAGGGTAAATTTTAATCATTTCATTGGTTTTTAATTTGATAAACGAGATCTTTATTTCCGATAAAGAGGAAAAAAAAAAAATTGTAGTTGATTATAAAAGTACTTTTTGTAATAATTGAATTTATTCTTTTCGGTTATTAGCCAAGATTTTACACGCAAAACAGTCAAAGCAGAAATGAACGATGGCCTTCTCCTTCAATAGACTCTACACGAGAACGCATGTCAGGAAGAAAGGTAATGGAAGGTTGGCCTTCTTCTCCACGACGCATGCAATTAGCTAGTCCGCGCTTCAAATCTTTAACTGACTTGATGGAAGGACCTGAAGGTTCTGAACAACAGGTATCATTAAAATATTTACATTTTTTTTTTTTTTTTAAAAAAAAAGGTGCAAACAAAATTAATATTTACATTTATAGCAGGAATCATCAGCATGTCGAGTGAACCCTTTATCTTCACCTTCCCATAATACGTTTAAACCTTCTAATGATTCTGTTCATCCTACTACACCTGTAAATTCAATTTTAAATTTAAATCCGATATGTGAGGAGGATTCAGAAGAGGAGGATAAGGAGGAAAAGAAAGAGGAGGAAGAGGATGGGGTAGAGAAAAGACAAGAATCACGAGAATTAGAGCAGAAAGTAATTAAGGAGCAGGAGGAAATATTAGATTCAAAAAATGATGAAAAGGACAGATTCCCTAAACCGGGGAAATTTTTTGGTTCAAATCGAACAAAAAATTCTCGTTTCCTAGATTTGATGTCAAATGAAGAATCATCACCAATACCGCCGTCTGTCTTGAGTCCTCAATCATTCGGAAGACGTCAACCAATGTCCCTTGGTAGATTAACGTTTAATAATAATCCCAAGAAATTACTTAATCGTGAGAATAATAGTGGAACTAGTTTACCACAAGGAACGCAAACTATTTCTGAAGAGGACAACGATGGTGAAGAAGATGATGTAATAGAGGAACAACAAGCAAAAGCCAAAGGACGTGAAAAACGTATGTCCGGTTCATTTTCGTCAAGTTTGGATGGAATAAATGAGGATGAAGAATTAGACGGATTAGAGGAACAAAAAGAGCAAAAAGAAAGTCTTCCCCTACCTGATTTCTCAAAAAATGGATCAAATCGAAAAACGCGGACATTAGATATTGATTTATTTTCTTCAAAAGAGAAATATGTCGAAGAATCAAAATCAGAAAGAAAATCACCTGGCGCAAGAATTACCGCTCGCCTTTTCCCCTCAATACAATCTAGAAGAACTATGCCACAATTGACTGTTAGAACTCCATTACCCATGTTATCAATTTCAGAAACTGAAGATGATGAGGAGGAAGAAGAGGAAACAGAAATGTCTTCCGATAATGCGAGTAGTCGATACCCCCCTTCAGAACTATCTGACATATTACCGTCACCTGCTACTTCAATGACACCGTCTGTATCATCGACTCCCATGACACCTGTTTCTGGCAAATCAACTTCTTGGAGATGGCCAAAGAGATCTTTTAGTCCCGCGAGAGAGAAGAATAAAGAATTACCAAATGATGATCCGTCAGATCATATAGGTAAAGTAGGCAGTAATATATGGGCAAAAAAGACATTAGGACAATTAAGAAAATATCATCAACGTCAAAGCCCTAGTATATTGAGTAAAGGTTTTAATTTACCGAGCCCTTTAAAAGAACCTACTACCCCATTACAGTCCCCTGTTAGTGACATTTCAGACTCTAAAAAGTCTCCTGCTGTATCAATTCCAGAACAACCTTTAGAGACAATTAATGAAGAGGAGGAGGATGAAGAAATTGGCATTTGGTCAAGTGAAGAAGTAGACCTAACAGATTCGGGTATAGATGAAAAGAAACCTTCTACGCCCACGTCCATAAGCAGTATCTTGAATTCTAATATTATCGAAGAGGAACCACAGGGTATGAAGGTCTCTCCAGAACATTTGACAGTTGTTGGTGGCATGTTCGTAAGTAGAGATAGCCCAAACGCGTCGACGACTTCTCTTACGTTACGAAGCAACCCTAGTAGTTCTTCGTTGGCTAAACATAATGCTAAACCTTTATTCGAGACTACGTTTACCATCTCAAATATTACAGATAAGCCACTTAGATACGAAATCCTATGGCCGGCATTTCGGTTCGATGTTACACCGGCTTATGGTGTTGTTAAGCCTCAGAGCGTAACGTTGGTTAAGATATCGGTAATGCATAAACATCTTTCCGCGGGTTCAAAACGCGATGATTCTAAAAAATTGATGGGTATTCTTAAGGGTTCAGAAAAGGATGATGATAATAGACCATTGATGGGCAGAACTAGATTATTGGTGCTTTGCGAGAATAATGAACGTAAAGAAGTGATAGTCGACATTGTACAGGTGAAGAAGAAAGTAAAGGGTGAGGTAGAACATGTAAGATCGTCTTCAAAGAATGCTAAAGATGAGGATGGAAATTTCATTAGACGATTTAGTAAATCAAGTGGTAAGAGTTTCACTAGAACTGTGGATGATCTGATTAAAGCTGCCAGAGCACGAACTAGGAAGCAGACCAAGCCAGAAGATAGGCCTAGGCCAGCCAAAAATAATTCCAAAGGTAAATCCACGGCTGTTGGCACGGCGAATAAAGTTCAAAGTGCACCACCTCTTAGGAGAACTTCAAGTAAACCACCTAGTCGTTCAAGCAGTCCAGAGGGTAATATTAGAAATCGTGTTGTCCGAAGGAAAGCATCATCATCATCATTACGTAGTCGACCTAATACGCCCGACCGTAGGAATAGCACATCGCCTTCACCCAATACTCGTTCTCGCACACCTGACGAATCCAAATCCATTAAGCAACTCCCTCAACGCAAAAATTTGCTTTACGTCGGTGCTCCAGGAAATATAAGTTGTTCTCCGACCACTATTCGAGAAACAAACCATAGCGTATTCCGAATTCAAAATCCGACGAATAAACCTGTTACTTGGCATCTTACAACTGCGACGAATCCTTTCCTTCGTCGTTCAGAATCCACATCCACCTCTGCAACCACATCTGCGACCGCATCTGCATCTACCTCCGCTCAGAAAATCAACGATGAAGTATTCTTGATTATGAAAACGAGCGGATTTCTTCGACCTGGTCAAACCGAAAAGGTGGTAGTAAGTTTTCGTCCTGTGATCGTAGGGACGTATCATCAAAGTTTTATGTTGGAAGATTCTATGAACGCGGACGGCGCTGGTGGATTAGGCGGTGTCAGTGTTCGTATACAAGGTGAAGGAAAACTTGACGTGTCAGCTCCTGTAAGGCCTGACATAAAGCGAAATAGTGGGTCTAGGATAAAGGACTTTGAAGTTTCGGAGACAGAGGTTCACATTCCAGCAACTAGAGTAGGAAAACGAAGATCAGTGGGAATCAAAATACATAATCCATCTAGTCAGTTGATAAGGATAAAATGCAAAGTAGATCTAGGAAACGAAGCGTCAACCGCATTATCAATCCCTTTGTCTAGTGTTCAAATTAAACCACGTGCATTTGTATTACTTCCAATACGGTTTCAACCAAAGGAAGAGGGTGAAATTCGGGGTATGATAAAATTACAGGCTGTCGGTAGAACAGAGGTCAACGTAGATATAGTGGCGGAAGGAGTTTCAGATGCTCCATTAGAAATCTCGTGATTATATTCGAGTTGTGATATTATAGGTTTATCCATATATGCTCTCCACTTTTCAATCCGCACCGACATCTTTGCCTTTGCCATGATTGGCTTCGCCTTATTATATGGTTCACGGCTTTAGATAACAGACTTGGCTTATTTGGGTTGATCATTTAAGACGGGCGATATGCGTCACATAATGGTTCCACCCACCCCCCTTCCTTTTACGATTTTCCTTTCTTTATCCGTCATTGATTTATCCAATTTTATCGACTTCCTTTTTTATTAATATTATTTCATCATTCCTTAATTTCGATGCTTTCTCAAAAACACAAGAAGGCTGATAAGAAACCAAAGAAAAAAATTTAAAAAATTTTAAAATCAAAAAGTACTTTTTTATACCGATTTTTATTTTATTTTATTTTATTTTTTTTTTTTTTGTATAAAAAAAATGAAACGATCATATTATTTTTATGTTAATATATTTTTTTTTTTCATTATTATTTTATATTATTTGTTTTTCAAAAAGACAATCTTTCCTATTTTTCTCTCGAATTCGATTTTAAAAATTCGCATATGCGATGACATTAATTCCTCAAAATTTAGTTTTTGTTTAGTCGATTTTTGAATTACGGTATATGCAAAATTATTATATATATTTACTCGTTCAAAAAAAAAAAAAAAAAAAAATCAAAAAAAAATCAAAAAAAAATCAAAAGTATCTCCAAAAATGTCCTCAAAGATTTTGACGTCAAAAAAAAAAAAAGAAAGAAAAATTATGCTCTTTATTTATTTTTCATAATATATTGAAGGACCAAAAAGAATTTTTTTTTTTTTATTATTTAAAAAATGATCTTTATAATAAATTTTAGTGAAATTTTTAATTCGTAATAGTAATTATTTTTATAAAATGGTATATAATTAATTTATTTATGAAATAATTTTTTTTTTGTATTTTTTTTTTTTTATATTTTTTTTTATTTTTTTTTTTTATTTTTTATTTTTTTTTCCTTTCGATTTTGGGTTAAAAAGAATTCCTTAATAAAAATTTGACTGCCTAAATCGGAAATTATTTAAATGATTTAAAATAAAAATTTTCTTTTACTAGAAGCCATTGAAAATAAATTAAAATAAAATTATACTAAACCAAATTTGATAACAAGGTAAAAGCATGAAACAAGATGTTCGATACTCCTAGTTTCATGAGAAGACCTTAATTATTTTTTTAACCTAATTTGGAAGGCATAGAGAACCGCCGCTGTATTTATATTATTTGTTTTAAGAATCATTTTTTAATTCACCAAACAATCTTCTTACCAGGTTTTTATATAAATTTGGAATACATTTTATCCATATGCATCTCATGTCTCGATGCAAAGATTCTTACCATAAATATCGCGCAAATGCATGATACAACCGTTTAGCGCTCCAGGGGTTCATAATGAACATACTCCTTTCCTTTTTGGGAAGATATCAATACATTTTTATAAACCTGTTCGCTGCTCGATTATTATTCTATATCAACTTCATCTCCAGATTTCGTTTTAAAGTGCCAACTAAATGATGGATGTGCAACAACAACAAGAGCCGCGAATTAGCCAGTTACTACCGTCAATAAAATGTTCTGATTGTGGTGAAACTGTAGAATTTCGAATGTTAGGTGAACACATTTGTCAGGCTGCTCCTGATGTTCCCGCCTTACCTCTTGCGTACCAAAAATCTGCCACAAATAAACCACCTCCCTCTACGAGACCAGGTATGTTTAAGTTTTGGCCTTTCAAAGTCACTTTGAAAGTTATTTTCAAATAAGATATCTAAATTGTTACCCATTTATTAATTAAAGGCGAACCACCGATGCCTAGATCAATCCCTAAACCATTATCTGTGCCTGGTATGATTCGGTTAATTCAACCTTTTTTTTTATTTTTCCTTTTTCCTTTTTTCGTTAATATAAAATCAATTTGATTTTTGACATTCAATTCATTGTTTTTGAAGGCAGTGGTCATGGTTCACCGTATGATCTTAATCCCTCACCTACAGATTCCGGTTATTCTGGGTATTCGGGCAGTAATTATGCTTCACCACCTCCACTTACACCGGGTTCTAAAGGAACAAAAAATTTTTTACAAAAATATTCGCAGATGACTGGTAAACAATTCAATTCACCGACACAGTCCCCTAGAAGCGCTCCAACAACACCTTCAGCTATAGACAACGACCAAGAATATTATGACAAGCGATTCGATAGACCACATGTCAATAATGGTAATGGTAATAGCTTTGATAAATATACATCTTCCCCTAATGCATATGATAATAAATTTATGCAACCAAACAAGCCATATGGACAAGGTTATCCAGTTGATCGTGAAATACCTGATCCAAGGAAACCATCCAATTATGATAGACCTTTTGATAATGGATACAAACAGCCACAACCTTTTAATGATAATGGTAACCGTTATATGGACGACCCCTATCGATTGGGTAAACCTAGGATTCCTAATGATCAAAGGCCCGATGATCGTATGATACGAAATCAAAAACCTAGTGGTTATATTAACGGGGAAGGTTCTCGTAGCAGAAGTCGATCTCCTGCAGCTATTGATCGACCCAATTATCCACCACCACCACAATTACCTCCACCTAACCAGCTATATGGACAATCACCATACGGTTATGAAGGTTATGACAGCTCTAGGATGCCGCCTCGTAACCTTTCACAGGAGAAACAACCACCACGACAACCACAACCTTTTTCAAACCCAAATTCATATGCGCCACCACCATTGCAAAATAATAAGGTTTATAACGATGTTTCATATCCTTCCGTGGAATCTAGTGCTTTTGGACAAGGTAATTATAAGTTTATTTCTTCAATCGATAAATGAAACATTTATTTAATTTTGGTAAATTTTACATCTGTTCGACTCTCTCTTAGAAGAAGAAGGTTTTGATTATTTGATGAATGATTTAATGAGGGAGATGGAAAATATGCAAACATCATCGACTAATTACGATGACCAAAAGAGTATCAACTCATCATCCGGTGGTGGCACACGGGATATTTGTGCTTATTGGTACGAATAGAATTTTTTTTTTTTTTAATTAAATTACTTTCCATAATCTCTTCAAGGCAACTAAAACCATCTATATATTATTATTATTATTAAAGTAAAACTGAAATAAGTTCATCGTCGTCTACATTGTGGGCACTCGGTAAAACATGGCATTCCAATCACCTCCTCTGTGGTCACTGTCGCCAACCAATTGACCCAAATGTAGGACATGTAGAAAGAGATGGCAATGTATATTGTCCAAGAGACTTCACAGATTTATTCTTACCAAAGTGTAGAAGATGTAATTTACCGGTAGAAAAGGAAGCTGTTAGTGCTAGTGATGGAAAGCTTGAAGGGAAATGGCATGTAAAATGCTTCGGATGTCATACATGCTACAAACCTTTCCCAGACAAGTCATTCTATGTCTTCAATAATGCACCATATTGTAAACGTCATTATCACAGATTAAATAATTCTCTCTGTAAAACCTGTGATGAGCCCATCGAAGGTCCTTGTGCGCAAACAGTTGAGGGATGGAGATATCATCCACGTTGCTTTGTTTGTTTCGTACACGTAAATATCACTTTGAAAAAGTTTTTAATTTTTAAATTTCTTTACGTTACTAGAATATTAACTTTGATTTTAAATATATAGAACTGCAATACCCCCCTTACAGATATCTATTACAGTTTTGAAAACAAGCAATATTGCGAGATGCATATTATGGAAATTCAACGAAGGCGTAAAATTCAGGCAGAAAAACGTCAAACAATGTTCCGGAACATTTAAAAACAGCGTTTACAGAAATCATGGTTACACCACGCTAATTTCATGAGTTGGCTTGATTTCCTTTTTTTCAAATGGCCTTGTAATTCCATTCATCAAACATTCTTTATTCATTAAAACGAATCTCTTTCTTTTTATTAAATCTATCATAATATTTCATCACCTCATAATTTACTGTAATTTAGTAACATCTCTTTCTTTTCATTGTTGAGTGTATATTGTTGGCTTTATTTATCTAGTTAATTCAATATATATACTCAAAAAAATACAATTCATTTTAATTTTTTTTTTTTTTTAGAAAATTAATTTATTTTTTTACTTTTATTTTTTTTGGTTTAACAATTTTGTTATTGGTAAATTCATATTTTTGTATATATTTGATATTTGCAGTATGTAGTAGGTAAAATTACTATTTTTTTTTTTTTATAATTTTAAAACTAAGTACAAATGTTTTGATATAAAAGATTAGTCAAATTTTTTTTTTTTTTTTTTTTTTTTTTTTTTTTAACAGTGATTGTAGATTCAATTATACTTTTAAAATTATAATAAATATTTGAAAAAGTAATTTTTTTTTACCATTAATAATTTATATTATAATTTTAAATATTTAGGATTTAAAAGATTATTTATATAATACAAAGTACAATTCATTCTAATAAAAATTTTTTTAAGTCAATTTCTTGATTCAGAATTTTTTTATTGCTATATTAATTATATATTAAATATTTTAAAAATGATTGAATAGTAAAAATTTTATAATAGATAACATAATCAAACATTTGTTTTATTGATTTCAATGTAATAATTTTTTTAATAAAAAAAACCATTGTTATTTTTACTGTTACAATTTCATAATAAAGACACATTCTATAAGAAACTTAATTCTGAAGTTATCCTGTTAAAGATTAAATATTATGAAAAAATATTCATCATTATAACACCTTTCTCGTATTTTTCAAATATACTAATTAATTATTATTGTAAGTACAATTAAAAAAAATATATATATAATACAATTCTGAAGTCAAACAAGTAAATTATACTTAATAAAAAAAAGGAATTATTATTTTTAATTGTATTTTCTAATATACAAAAATAACATTATAAGATAATTATCTATAGATGATAAAATCTAAAAGTTTAGAATTTCGGTTAACAAACAAGATAAAATGAAAATGAGAAATTTCACTATAATTTTAGAAAAGCATTTATATTATAATATAATAATTTCAAGAAATAATTTAAAAACTACCAAATATTCTTTATAAAATGTATTGAAATCAATCATTTTTTCATTTTTTCTTCTTTTTTTAAAAAGTGATCATAGCCTACCTTATTAATACGTAAATTAATTTTTCTTTTTTAAATTAGTTTGCTTTTAATTATTTTATTTTCTTTAGTAAATTCCTTTTTAATTTATGAATAAATGATTTTATAAGAGTTCTCTATTGTTAGTATTTTTGTTATTCTTTCATTTCTTATATGTATTAATACAGACTCCTATCAAAAGTCTCTGAATACCATCTTTCAGACTTTTTCATACTAATTACATTATATGACTGTAGAAAATTGCGATTATATAATGTTCTGACCATTGTTTACTTAAATCAAACCAAATAAATATGTGTTTAGTTTGTTTATTTTGATTTTAGATCAAAATAAAATTTTATCTTTTTAAAACAACGAAAATGTTCAAAGAATTAACAATAGAATAATGCTGTAACATAATTTTTTGCTATCAACGTGGTGATCGTTATTGAACTATTGCCACAACTATCTATTGAGAATCTATAGACCAAAGTCAAAAAAAGCATCTGTGAAAGGAAAAAATTGCCTTCCAATCTTGCTCAACTCGATCAACATATTATAAAGGCATAGAAACAAATTCTAATACAAAATATTGAAAATTTGGTTGATAGTATGCTGTAGCAAATTCAGGCTGTGATTGAAGCAAATTGAGGTCTGACCAAATACTAATTATTTATTACTAAATGTGTAGCATATCGTACTTTAATAAATATATTAATAAATATTTTTTAATAAAATTTAAAAATTTCAAGTTTTATATTGAGCCAAAAAATGTTCGAAGACTTTTGACAGGGGTCTGTAGCTAAAGATGCATTCATAAAATTAAAGCTTATATCTAGTATTGGAAATTTAACCTTTTATAAACTGCTAGTTCTCTCTTAATCATTTCATATTTATATAATAATTCTAACAAATTCATTTTATTGTTCAGATTTGTTAAATATAATTTTAATAATTTGATTAAAAAAATTATAAAGATTTTCTTTGAACAAAAAATATATTAAAAATGTATTCATTTCTTTAAATATCAATATAGTTTATTATTTTAAGATTTATTATATGATTTTTTGATTATTGAACTGCAAAGTTTTGATTGATATAATAAAATTTTATTATTATATAAATTCATATTTAAGGTTTGCTTTCTTTTAATTATTTACTAATTTTATATTAAATAATTATATTAAATAAAATTATTTAAGTTTTATCAATTTATATAAGCAATATTAAAATCCTAATTACTTTAAAAAATTTTTACATAAAATTTTATTTATTATTAAAATTAATTTTAAATATATTAAATATATTATTAAAAATAATAAAATCAAAAAAATATTACTGTATTCTTCCGAAAATAAGCAACATAATTTTGTTATAATGTTGTTTATTTTTGAGTAGTTAAATTATTTTTAATGTACTGTATAGTTTGATTTTTCATGTTATAAAATTAACATGATTTCAATATGATCAATGATCATTTAATATACGTTACGTAAATTGTGAACTGGTTTACGAACTTGTTTTATGCCAGTTACTACATCAATTACAACAAATAAAAAATGCCAATTATTTCATATACTTAGATGCAAATGAAGGTACTAGAGAAACTGTTACAAGAAATCTTCGCCTTGCTAAATTGGGTGATATATGCTTGTTGGTAAAGTTTGCTTGGGAAGCAATCTATGATAAACAATTATAGAATCTTTCAAGATTTGTAAAATTTCAACCAATTTAAACGAATCAGTTTCTGAATTAGAAATTAGCGATAATGATGTAAATAGCGTTGATAGTGATGATGATGGTGATGATAATACTGGTAGTGATGATTGTAGTGATAATGATAATAGCCATGATATTTATGATAGTAAAGCTGTTAAAATTTTGCGATTAATATGTGTATTTTACGATAGTGAAGCAAGCAATTATTTTATAAAAATTCATTATTTAAAATATTCTTTTTACATTACATATAGTTTTAATGTGAAACTAATTAAATATTCAATGTGTTGCTTATTTTCAGGTATTATTTATTTTAAGAGTTGCTTATTTTTGGGGGTTGCTTATTTTTGGAGGAATACAGTAATAATTTTTAATCTATAAAATAATAATATTATTATTACTATTTATTTTTATATATTAAAATAATTTTATACAATCAGAATTTGATATAAAAACCTATTAGTTTAATAATTTTGATTCATTATAATAAAGATTCAGAAAATGAGTTTTTTTGATATATTAATTTAAATAGTAAAAAAAATAAAAGTTTATATATCAAATTTTTACTATTAGTTTATAATAAATGCAATATTTATTATTTGCTTATTATATATTATACTATTTTTTTTTTATTATAATTATTTATAAAATTTGAGAATAAAAAAACTAATTAAAGCTAATAAACTTATTTATATTTATAATCAACTCTCTATAAATACATATCTTTGAAATCAATAAAAATATGCATTTATAAAGGATGTGTTTTAAAAAAATAGTGCATTATTAAAAATTTATATCATTTGTTTTAAAGAAAATAAACAAAAAATAAATGAGTTCAAAAATACTATTTTATTATATTAATAAAGTAATTATTAATTAAAATACTGATTTATAGTAGTTTGTTATATCATATTTATTTTTTTTTTCTAATAAATTTTTCAATTATATTTACTAATTTTATATACTTATTTGTATTATTTTATTGAAGAAAAAATGTATAAATATTTTTTAAACTTTTTAATGTTACATTAATGTTAATAACTGGAATTTCAGAACTATTATCTATTTCATCTAAATTATTAGTATTTTTTTCATTACACTCTTTAAAGTATTTACAAGATCTGCTATAACTTATTCATCTTTAAGAATTTTAAAAACAATATCTTCTTTAAAAATGGTAAGAAATTCTTCTACTTTTATTATATTAAAAAGTGAAGAGCTTTAAGTTTATAGCGAAGTTTTTTAAGTATTAAATTATCAATTTCATTATTTAAATTAATATTAGAATTAGAAGGAAAAATTTTAGTATAATATCAACAATTTTAAATTATTTTAATTATTATTTCATTCCAACCTTAAATGATATATGAATTGCTTGTAAAACATCTATTATTAGATCTTATATATTATAATCCACCTCAACTTATTTTAATATCCAACCAAAAAATAATATCAATAAAATACTTGATAAATTTTCTGATAAAAAATATAAAATTTACTAAATATAATGATAATAATAATATCTTTTAAAAGATATAATAATTTTAGCATCTATTAGTTAAAACTTAAAGGTTATATTAGGAGGTAAAAAGTAATTTTAACATGTGAAAGAGTTAAACTTTATAATTTATGATTTAAACAATTATTAAATAATAATAGTATGTGTTAGCCATTATATTTAAAAAATTTAATAATCAAATTCTTGTAACTATTCTTGAAATAAAGTTATAAGTATCTAAGTTTTTAAATTACTTTAATATGTCATTTTGAGATTAGAAATATTAATATTTTTAAAATATTATGATATGGCAAATTTTTCATTATTAAAAGAAATAGTTTATATGACCTATTAGCATTTGTATATAAGGTAATAGAAAGATGTTCTTTATTTTATTACGTCTAAAAAGACATTTTATTACTAAAGTTTTATCTGATTCCAATCTATATAAAAAATATAAATTTATATTATAAGTTAC